TGTGTGTGTGTGTGTGTGTGTGTGTGTGTGTGTGTGTGAAGTTTTCATGGGTACTTACATGTATGGCATTCCGCTTTGTTCGGGTATTTTCCCACGTCATTGTAGTTGTGCTTTTAAAATTGTAGCAACGTTTCAACAGAATCTCATCTGCCATCATCAGGCTTCTGTATTGTGTTCGTCTGACGAAGCCTGATGATGGCAGATGAGATTCTGCCGAAACGTTGCTACAACTTTAAAAGCACAACTACAATGACGTGGGAAAATACCCGAACAAAGCTGAATGACACACACACACACACACACACACACACACACACATATATAAAATGTTTGTTAGACTTCTAGTGCATGCTGGTAAATAAATTTAGCAAATTGCCTTTATAACATGGTATTATGATTATTGCTTGACATGCTGTTGATAATCAGCTTGGTAACAATGACTTCATTGCTCAGATGCGTTTTCTAAGATAATTCAATGTAATTTTATAATCACTATGGGGTTTTGAGAAGTATCCAAGCATGATTGTGGCGATTTTCATAAAATGAAATCTTATTCAAAAACTGGTTCTTTGATAGCTATACTGTATGGCACTTATCAAAACCCCATCTTGGAGTCAAATATATCTCCCTTAAGTATATGATGAACAGTTCATCATATATGGCTCCCTTAAGCCATTTGACGAACCTCAGTTTAATTGTTTGCAAATTGATTATATAAATAATAATGTTCTCAAACCCACACCCCAGATTTTTAAAGGGATGTGTGATTTGTATTTAATTTCATATAAACTTAATTTAAGGGAACTCAAGATGTTAGGTTTTACAGTATAATTACAGTGTTTAAAATATATTAGTTTCAACCCCTTTCAACCCCTTTGCATATCATAATTCCATTTTATGTGTTGGTGGCATATGGGGTATTCTTTATTCTGATGCTATTCACTGTGCCATGAATCAAAACACTTTAAGCTGGAATTTTAATACAATAAGTATAAAAAATAACTTGGTCTGCTTAACTGCACTTCACTTCTTAATTAACTACAGGTAGGTTTATAAGGACACCTAACACAAACAATATGACTCTGGGCAGATATAATGGGCTGTGGGGAAGAACATTGGGAGTGAGAAGGACCAGCCACAGCCTAAATCAGGGGTAGGGAAACTTGGCTCTTTTATCACTTATGGACTTCAACTCCCAGAATTCCTGAGTGAGCCATAAAAGGTTCCCCATCCCTGCAGGAAAAATAGTGACTGACCATCACAACAGAATAACTAAAGAGGGATCAATTCAACTGGTCCCTAATACCTGGAAGAAAAGCCAAGTCTTAAATGCAAGCAGAGTTGGGGCAGGTCACACATCAACTGGAAGATTGTTCAGAGAACAAGAGCAATTACAAAAAAGGCTGTAGATACTTATTCATATTTAAAAGAAGGAACCTAGAGCATGCCTTCCCCATGTAAGCATGTGGGACAGGCAGATTTTCTTGGTAGAAGGCAGCCGCTCAAATTTTGTCAGTGTACCAATTTCATTTGTATGGAAACGCCTCTATATAACTAATCATATGTCCAATCTGCTGTGGAGGAAGGGGACCATCACAACAGATTTTGAGAAACTCTGTAGAAAGTTCTGGGGAAAGAGCAGAGAAGAAGAAATCTGTTTCTTATTCAACACATCATTTACCTTAATATGACAGTGCTGCTTTGAATTAGCAACATGGATGGCATATAAATTTAATGTGATAATATAAATATACTAATATGAAAATGAAAATATATTCTCAATTTTCCTTAGTTTTTAAATAAAAAGGAAGTTAAATAGCAAACTGAATACTTGATTTTATGAAAAATATTTGCCTTGGTAGAGAAAAATACATTTTCTCTTCTAAAATCTGATTTTTCTTTCTTTCCAGCATTGTTACTGATGTTGCAGTTGGTGTGAAGGTATGTAATCAATTTAAATTATAATGTTGAATAATGAAAGCATTGGTCTAAAAATATTTATTTTTAAATTTGTTTAATTTTATCTTGGTGACTGGTTGTTATTCTTTTATCTAGAAGCTTCAAGCAACCTAGAAGTTGGTAGAAAACCCCCAAATTATTTATCAGAAACTAAATGTAATTGCAATCAACTATAAAATGAATTAAAACATTGAATAGCTTTCAGGAAATGAGATAATTGATAGGGAATTTTCACACTTCTAATCTAGGGCTTTAATAGTACTGGGGAAAAAAGAATCCCAATTTAAGGAATATTAGCAATATTATCAAGGCCTTCTGTTTTTATTATTCTTAGAGGCCTTGTCTAGACATAGCCTTTGCAATTTTTATATCTCAAGTAATGGAATGGTACTATAAATATGTATACTCCTTCGCTTGCACAATTTTTCTTGTCCTGTGCTTTTAATACTTTACAGTTCAGACATCTGTTGGTTTACACATTGCATTAAATCAAAATTTGTCATTTTTGGTTTTGATGTGGACTGTATATGTATGTTTTGTAAATCATTATTTATACCTGAAAGTGTGTGGACACATGCCCCAAATAATCTTATTCACTAAACAGCTTCGCATACTATTTTTTGGACTTAATTTTGGTTTGCTTTTCCTTTTTCCTTGTCTTGATTGGTTAATTTAACTTTGGACTTTGTATCCTCTGCAAACTGTTGGTAGATTTTTCTTTCAAAATTTCACTCTGAGTAGGTTAGGATCAAATCCAAGAAACTGTATGACAAGCATGCATATTCTCCATTTTTGAAGACACTTGTTCCTTAAATCAGAGTTTGAAAGAGAAGCCAAATTGTAAAGATTTTTGCTAATAATACTATAATATTAATATTAGGAAGGGTTCTTTGGTATCTAAATAAATGGAGTATAATGTAACAACATACTGTTGGAAGAAATATCCTTTTGGGTTCAGTTCCAAGTGGGGAGAAAGACACTGGAAACATGGAGGCTGTTTGGAAAGATGGTTTAATGGTGGACTGGACCACATGGCTTGGAGGTCCAAAGTGAAAAGGACGATCACATGCTTCAAGATGTTGGGTGAAGGAAAAAAAGGGGGCAAGATGCTGAGCGACCCTTAGTTATATACCCTCTGTTGGACCCCACCTTAGTGTTTCCTGTTCCTATGTAAGAAATGTATCCCATTGGCTGTCAATGGGGATCTTAGCTAACTTTGTAGGCTTTGTCTGGAACACATGGTTCTACCTGAGTGCTGGCTGATGCAATCTTCCCAGGCCAGGTGGTGAGATGGGTAGAGGCCTTTGTTATGTAGAATACTCTGGCCCAGGCCTTAATGACGCGCCCATTAACAAAGGTGGGGGGTGAGCTTCTGCCTTTCTTGAGTTTCTACTTCCCTTTTAAGGGAAATATTCTGCCTTGTGTATGCAACTACTTTTACAATACAGATAATAGAAACATGCTGGACAATTTTCCCTCCCTCCAGACAGAAGTCCATGACGTTCAGAACTTGGTGGGTCAGCCACTCTCAAATACAGTCCTTACATGAGTACATTAGACTGATTACAATAAAAATGATGTAAGAAAGAAAACATTACAATGAATTTCACATTACAATGAATTTCTACCCTCCCCCATAATCTTTCTAACTGTCTTCTGGGGATTGAAAATAGTCTTTTGGTCTTTTACTGATCCATCTCAGGGTCTTTTCCTTCATGTCTCTGAGTGGCATAGGCTTGGCTTAGTGGTAAGGGTGGTCAGGCTTGGGAAGGTCTGCCCCACTCTGGTTTCAATGGAGGCTGGATCCAAACCCAATTACTGGCTCCAATGAATGGAATGTCTCTAGGGGGCAGCATCTTGTTTCCACATATGGAAGGGCTGAAAGACAAAGAACAAGGGTCCCCTCCCCCCTTTGCTGGTAATTCTACCAGGAAAGGCATTGTAAAAGGATTAGAGATTTGGGTGGGAGGGTAGATAGCTTGCAGGCATAGTTTGAGGAGGAAAAAACAACATGTCAGTATGGCAGGTACTAAACAGATACATCAATTCAACAAAATGGAGACACAACAGATGAGAAAGGAAAAAACTGGATTCACATGCTTCAAGAAAAAGATGATCAGGTAAGATCATTTAAACACATAGTAAATGCAAGGATGAAACTTTTCTTGTAAATGAACTTAAAATATTCACTAATAACCTTGGATTTTTCTTAAAAGCACAGAGAGGAAAGAAAATTGAACTCTGTTCTTCATCCAGTCTAGTTGGCCAGACCAAACTAGGCAAATACGTTTTCAATGCTTCCAATTCTTTCGTAACAATTTAAAATTCACATCTGAATTTTAAGGGATCAGAGACACTTAACAGTTGCAATTACCTCAACGACGCACAAAGTCTTAGACACACACACACACACACACACACACACACACAAACACAAAAGCAAGGACAAAGAGAGGAAAACAAAACTCTGATGTTTACTTACACACTGATCATTCCCACAATAAATCTCTCAGTTAAATTGGGGAAGGCACAAATCTTAAGGAACAAACCACGTGGAGACAAAGAAAGAAACAACCCCCCCCCCCCCATGTGATCCTGTTTATATATTGCCCTTTTCTTTCTTTTTTCTTTTTAAGTACCTTTATTTAGCCGAATTTGTCTTCCTCTGTCATCTCTCAGGAAAGCCCATTTTTAACATATCCTTTTAGCCTTTTTTTTTTTCATACCAACTAGGACTGGTATCTGCCGTTCATCCCAAGTCTCCAATAACTCTCCCAGGGGGTTTTCCATTCAGGACCCTCGAACTACAGCTTCCCATGTTTCCCCTTCAGGTGTGGGGTTTCACACTTTGGCTTAGTTGGGTCAGTCGGCTATCAGTTTGCAGACAAAAAGGTGTCTGGGGGAGACTTTGGTTCCCTTTACAAAGTATGTGCACTCCCCTCAGAAGGAATTCTCAGGCCACGGTTTTTGGACTGGGGAAAAAATAGTCTGTGAGGACTTGGTATCCCCAAAAAAGACAGTCTGGGAGAACTTTCTGCTCCCCGCAGACAAGTACTGGCACTCCTATTCTGGCTCAGGTTCTCGGATTTGGAAGAGCTCAAATCCGGGAGGACTTGCTGCTCTTCTGCAGGCAAGTACTGGCGCTCCTATTACTTCACAACTTCCTAACTGCCTAAATTCACAATTACCTAAAATCATGGGATTTGCTTTTGGGATACACTGGACAAAAAAAAAAAAAATTCTTCTCTCCCTTCAATCATAATCCGCTTGGCTTTTCCCTCTTATATACAGAAGGTCCCACCCTTGCTTTTTCTGTCCTGTTGGTCATGGCTCTGTGGAGTGCGGCTAGAGGTCAAACAGACAAATGAGATCCAGCTGCTCTCCAAGGGTGAAGACACTCACTCACTCACTCACTCACTCACTCACTCACTCTTCCTCCTTTCCTAACAAAAGGTCCTGTGCTCTGGGACCCCCCCCCCCATGCTCTCCAGACTCTTCCCAGGCCAGGTGGTGAGTTGGGTAGAGGCCTTTGTTATGTAGAATACTCTGGCCCAGGCCTTAATGACCTGCCCATTAACAAAGGTGGTGGGGTGAGCTTCTGCCTCTTGAGTTTCTACTTTTATGGGAAATATTCTGCCTTTTTAATATTTCCAAGGATATTTCATTTGTCTAGGAGAGGGGTAGTTGCAAATTTCCTACAATACAATAGGAAAGAGAATTCGTAACTGTTGAATACCTTCTAATGAGACATAAATTGTTGGATTAGGTTCATATTGCATAAAAAATCACAAATAAGTAAGTCACATTTTTATTTTATATGATATATGCACATACCTGTGTAAGTAGGGGCATTCTTGGAGCATAAAGTATAATTAGAATGAAGGTAATAACTTTTGTAATCTTATTTACCTTGAATTAAGGGATTACAGGGTCATAAAAAGAGAGTTTTTTAAAAAAAAATTGGACTAATTTTGATTAAAAAATATTATCCTTAAACAATGTATCTCAAAAATTAGAGCTTAGGCTGTAATAAGTAAAATTAAGGCTTTCTATATTGTATGAAAAAAGTGGCCTTCACACATTGCTTTCTTTTTCAATTACATTACATGCATATCCATTTCTGTTCTCCCCTTTAAGCCAACTTTGTTTCAGTAGAGACAGATGAGAAACGGTTGTTATCTTAGAGAAATTGTAATCTTAGTCTACATATAACATAACCCTAATTTAAATAAAAGTTTGATTTCCACAGAATACTGAGCCAAAATGCTTCATCGTTTTCTGAAACAAATCATATTGGTGTGATTTACCTATAAAGGTAAACCATATTACATTATGAGTTCCTGAGAAAAAAAGAAAGCACATTATGCTAATATTTGTTGCAGACTAAAGTTTTACATGAGGTGCTAGATTTTTGAAATGAAAATTTTGGTTTTCTGAGGGATTATTTCATATTCAGAAGTCTTGAACTGGAAATAGAAACATTCATTGGGAAATCTCTATATAAGAGAATGTTCGTAGCTCGGGGTTGAACTGGGGGGAATATCATCAGTACTCCAGTATTGCCTAGTTTGATAATGAAACATCTGTAAGACAACAACCAAACTCAGAGAACACCAAGGACCCCTACAAATCTATATATCTAAATAATTCCGTAGAACTTATTGGACACTTGTTCAGACAGTTGTGAGTAGATAGTTTATTTTGTCAACATCATCACTAATATCCATATACTGGTAGTGAAAGATAGCCAATTTACTCCATAAGCAACAGAGTAATTACAAAATTAACAGTAACTGTTAATTGTAAATCATTTAACATACATACAGAGTAATAATACTAAAAGAAAGCAAAACATTTTGGCTCCTTTGAAACTAATAAAGAAGTGAATTAATTAAATAATTCTAAATTATTAATAAGCAATCAAACTAAAAACAAGGTTTTGGGGGCCATGTATCTGGTATGGGTGGCTGTAGCACCTTTTT